TCCTCTGGACATTCAAAAAAACAAAAAACAAAACAAAGCAAAAAAATCTAGAAACGTTTCGTCTCTCATCCTGAGGACTTCCTCAGTCTGAGGAGCTGTTTTCAGCTCAGTCTCTTAAATAGCACCTTCTCAGAGTGGATCAACCAGTTTTCTGCTGACAACCAGAACCAGCTGATCACATGCTCAAGAAGGACCATCAGCCTAACAATGGATCATTAGCACCTGATGGCTGTTTACTGTTCACAGAGGGCTGAGTGATACTAGCAATCACAGCATTGTAAGAGGGGGACAGTTGAACCCGGAGGCTCCACCCCTGTTTAATGATGGACGGTTTCTTTTCACAAAGATGGCCTCCTTTACTCCTCTCTCAAACCATCGTTCCTCTCTGTCCAGGATGTGAAAATCTTCATCCCTGAAAGAGTGACCTCTGGCCTGGAGATGAGTGTAGACCTCAGAGTCCTGGCCTGATGATGTTGATCTTCTGTGCTGGTCCATCCTTTTGGTCAGTGGCTGTTTAGTTTCCCCGATGTAAGACTGATCACCCTCCTGACACTGAACAGCATACACAACATTACTCTGTTTGTGCCGGGGGACTGGATCTTTGGGATGAACCAGTATTTAATGTATTTTGGGGTTTAAAAGCCACTGGGACGTTATGTTTAGAAAATAAACGTCTCAGTTTCTCTGATACTCCCTCAACATATGGAATGACCACTGGTCTGGGTCTGGGTTCCTCCTTTTCACCTGATGCTGACTGGAGTCCTGTTTGGGTTTCTTCTCTGCTTTCAGGAAGGCCCAGTTAGGATATCCACATTGCTCTAGAGCCTGTCTTGTGTGGGATTTCTCCTTCTGCCTGGCTCCTGAGTTAGTGGGGATGCTGTATGCACATCACCAAGCATACAGCATCAGCCATCAGGTGCTAATGATCCATTGTTAGGCTGATGGTCCTTCTTGAGCATGTGATCAGCTGGTTCTGGTTGTCAGCAGCAAAACTGGTTGATCCACTCTGAGAAGGTGCTATTTAAGAGACTGAGCTGAATACAGCACCTCAGACTGAGGAAGTCTTTCGGATGAGGGACGAAACGTTTCTACATTTTTTTGCTTTGTTTTGGTTTTTTTTGAATGTCCAGAGGACCAGATTGAACTTTTTTGGATGCAAAATAAACATTTCATTAGTAGATTTCTGCAGTGTGCAGAGTGCTTCTACTGTCACTGTCTTCAATACAAGCATTTAAATTTGGTGGTCATGAATTCTAATAAGAGCGACTCTGTCACACAATATAGGAAACATTAGGGAAATAGCTGCAGGTAATCAAATAGCTACTGAAGGATGTGGGAGATGTTGTTGAATGTTAATTATTTTTAAAACCGTACATTTGTTGCTTATCTATTTAGTCTTTAGGGAGGTAAAAGCAGCA